ACATGTCGGAGCTACGCACCATGGTCATCGACAAGCAGACGTCGACGGCGTGGGTGGAGTCTGGCGCGACACTCGGCGATCTCTACTATGCGATATGAAGGTGAGCAACCTTCTGGGATTCCCGGCCGGCGTGTGCCTAACCGTAGGCGTCGGAGGCCATTTTAGTGGCGGTGGCTTCGACACGCTGATGCGCAAGCACGGGCTAGCCGTTGATAACATCATCGACGCCGAGTTGGTGGATGCCAATGGCACGCTCCTGAACAAGACCACCATGGGGGATGATGTCTTCTGTGCCATTCGAGGCGGGGGTGGCGGGAGCTTTGGCATTGTGCTAAAGTGGCAGGTGAGGCTCGTGACCGTCCCGGTGACTGTATCCGTGTTCAAGGTCTCGGTGTCCCACAGCCAGGGTGCCGTCGTGCACGCGGTCACCAAGTGGCAGAAGGTTGTGCCGGCCCTGCCCGAGGAGCTGTACATCAGGGCGCTTGTCCAGAACGGCATGGCCGTCTTCTGAGCAGTGTTCCTCGGCACGTGTGACACGCTCCTGCCATTGATGAGTAGGAGTGACGGCATCCCAGAGCTGAATTTGAGCCTCTCTGACTGCAAGGAGATGACCTGGATCGAGTCTGTGGCCTACGTCAACAACGCGGCCATGGAGGACCTCCCGAGGCGGACCACCTCTGAGTTCTACTCCATCCACGGCTTCAAGGCGACGACGGACTACGTCCAGCGCCCAATTCGTCGGGAGGTGTGTGCCAAGATCTTCTACAAGAAGCTCAGGCAGCCCAACGTGCAGGTCGTCTTGGTCCCATACGGCGGGAAGATGAGCAACGTGCCAGAGGACGCGACGCCGTACCCACACCACGCCGGCGTGCTGTACAACATGCAGTTGTACAGCTACTGGCTGGTGGATTCGGCATATAACGGAGCCATGGAGACCAAGTGGGTCAGGGACATGTACGCCTTCATGGCGCCGTACGTGAGCTCCAAATCCAGGCCAAGGGGAGCCTACTTCAACTGCAGGGACCTGGATCTCGGCCCCAATTGGGGGCCAAAATACTTCAAGGGTAACCACCACAATTACTTCCACAATGAGCAAAGCATTCCCCTGCCAAAACGAGCATCTTAATTGTTCCCCTATTTTCTCCTCCTTTTGAATCAGCTGCAAAACATTTTGGTTGAAGCATCTTAATTGTTGTGGACTGCAAGCCGTCGTTTTACTACATGCATGGTAGGTACAATATATCTACATGTACGCATTCTATCTTGAAATCACCTTCTATTAACAATAAAAATAATTCAAATTATTATTCAATAAAATAATAAAAGTAGAGTATTAATGAAATATTTCTTATATCACTTCTGAAATAAACTGACCTCTTCATCATAAGTTCGTTACCATTGAGGTTAACAGTGTCCCATAGGCTAATTGCATTAAGCATATCATACACCATTGTTTTAGACCCTAAATTGCAAAAAATAAAGGAAGCAGAACTTTTATATAATAGATCAAAAGAACACTAATTTTGAAGATTATTCAAGGGGCAAATAAAAAAGGAAGGAGTATGAAAATTTGATCAAATTGTGGTTGTCCTGTTACTGTAAGCAATACGAACTGCGTAGTCTCACAACGTGATTCAAAAACGGCACAACAAATTGCTAGAAAAAAAATCAGTAGTAGATGCTTCGCTAATCTGAATCCATCGGTAAAGTTGGGATGGATTCAAATATAAAGAGGTAAAACAACAAAACAGTGTGAGAAACGAACCTGATCCAGATGTTTTTCAGACAATTTTTTTAGGTGAACCCGATCTAGATCAAGAACACAAAATTTGAGGTAGTAAGATGTTGACCAACTGGATCCTTCCCCCAAACTCGCTTGCTTCAGTTTGGAGAGAGATGATGGTTCCAGTTTCCACAGAGGAAGAGAGAACAAAGACAGGAGGGGTTGGGTTTTGAGCTTCGGTTGGCGCCTTGCAAATAATTCCCTAGCTACATGGTGCAACAAAAAGAAACGAAGGCTGGAGACTAACTTGGTTAGCCCTATCTGTGGCGCTGCTGAGGAAGATTCCTACCACACATTCTGTACGTGCACAAATGCAAGATACCTATGGCGTGCTATGGCTATTGAATGGACACTCCCTAATGTAAATTCAATCAAGTCAACAGGACCAGATTGGTTCATCCAGCTGATCTGCGAAACAGACGAGCCAGCTCGAGTTCGAAATGAGCTCGTGCACTCGAAGCCCGCTCCTCCCGTGGATGTCTCTGTGAGATTTTTATCAAGCTATCTATCTTCCCTACAAGCTATTGCGATTAACCCTGATGATGACCATGTGAAAGGAAAAGCTCCCTCTCAGTTTTGCTTCCCACTTCTAGCACGCACATGCAGTAATAAGTCTGCTGCTGCTGTTCCTTGGATCCCTCGAGCAGAAGGGCCTAATGAGGACCTGATAGATAGATAGATAGATAGATAGATAGATAGATTAGGCCTAATGAGGGTTCTAAACATAGATCAATCAGCTCATGATACTAATGTTAGAGTAATTCCTTTCAGATTAATCTAAAACAGATCTTGATCTCAAAATTAGAACACCTCTTGTGGGCAGAATTGGGGACTAACCAGAATTAGCAAAGGCCGTTGAGTTCTCCAGTTGCGAGGAGATCGCCAGGGAGGAAGTGCAGCAGCAAGGCCACGATAGATGCCAGTTGGAACTTGGAAGCCGCCGGCACTGCCCTCTTGGTGGCCGGCGGTGGAGATATTCTTCGCCTCCCTCAACACCATGTTTTTAGGATTGGCAGTTAAGGAAACATTTTTGTGAAGTCGTCAAGTAGTAAAACGAATGACGGAAAGTGTGGTGGGCCACGCCCAACCTTTTCTCTCGGTGGTTTCTAATTTGGGAGCACAAACACCTCACATGCACAACACAACTTAACTTGCTTCAAAGCACGCACCTGACTCACCCGTGTAGGTGTAGACAAACATTAAGGAGCAAACCATAGGTTTTTGGGGGCCTTGAATTTCTTGTGTTTCGTGATAAAATCCATTAGCTCGTAAGAAGTTCTTCACATTGAGTAAGTCCAGTGCTTAGCTTAATTCAATATGAAAGAAGGTATCAAATCGACTTTATTTTTGACGTGAAAAGTAGGAGCTCTGCTTTTACATTGAAGTAGATAAGAAGTTTTCCGAGACACAATCAAAACCAGGAAATTTCCTGACCGATCCCGAATCGACTTTTGGAGGGCTATACATTTCACATGATTGTTGCGAGAGATGGGAGTATTTAATGAATCCTGCGAACTACACTTGCTTCTTGATAGATAGATTGGGCCACATAGCCATAGTTGCCTCGAAAAAACATCGAGTCTCAAAGGCTCTCCTTCATCTTTTTCCTCTAGTCCTAATCTGCACTCCATATAATACAACAGGGAAGCCAATATGAAAAGCCGCCCCACCCCCACATGTCAAACCTTGGACTCGCTTCCACTTGCGACGACGTGGGTTATGGGTTGCTCCTTGCTCAGCTTCACCCACATCCATGAGCCTCGCTGCCGGTTTCTGCTGTGCCCCCATCTCCACCTTGGTGCTGCGTTTCACCTCCTTCTTCCTTCTCCTATGAAATCGACTAATCCCAAAATACAAATTCAGGGAACTTACTACAAATATAGCTGCTGCGTTTTATTGTCACACCATTACATCGTTTGTAAGCACACATGCCACTTTCGCAAGCTCACATGGCACTTGTGTATACACAGTACTTACATGTACGTGTCTGCTATATGCTAGCTAGCCCTGCACGTCCGTGACGTTCCTCCTCTTCATGGTGACAGCGAACCCGTTTTTCATGTGGAGTATGATGGACAGCTTTGGTTCGACGACGTGCTCCGGCACGGCCTCAACCGTGAAGTTCCACAGCATGGCGGCGACGACGACCTTCATCTGCGTGAAGGCCACTTCCTTGCCGAGGCAGGTCCTGGGACCGGTGTTAAAGGCGATGAACTTGTAAGACGGCTCGTACCTCAGCTTTCCGTCATCGGCGATCCACCTCTCCGGCCTGAACTCCATGCAGTCCTTGCCCCACACGCCATCCATCCTCCCCATGGAGTAGGAGTAGACGAGTATCTTGTCGCCGGTCTTCATCTGGTGGCCGCTTGGGAGCACGTCACTGTGCGCTGCCACCTTGTGCTGGAAGGGCACGGGCGGGTAAAGCCTAAGGCACTCACACAGCGCCGCGTGCAGGTACACCATGTTGCTCAGCTCGGTCACGTCGAACACCGCCAATCGATTGACACAACCACATAGGCAAATTACAGCCTAAATTAGAGAAGGAAGCTCCTGATTAGTAGTTCAACTTCAACAACTCCTCCTCCATGGTTGACACATGAGTAAAGAGGAAAATAGAACTTACAGCCTGGGGATGTTGTAAAAGGTATGCATGTCTGCATGTGAAATATGAAGACACTTCTCCGTATATGTCAATTCAACATCGGCTGAAAGAAGTACCATATACACTACTAATACCACATAAGAATAATTCAAAATTGAGCATACATACTGTTCTATCACCAGTATAATGTAAATAAGTTAAGATAGAGGAAGTCTCTCTGATCTGTCGGTCCAGCAAAGAGACTGACACAAATTAGAAACTTCATGAATCACGAGCCATCTGGATTCAAAAGAGAGAGGAGCAGGAGGTGGTGGTGGAGGAGGAGGGGTTGAGATCCTCTGCAGTACTGTACGGTGCTGTAGTGCGGATGGCATGTGGGGCCGGGTCCACATGTGGAGGAGGACTGACACAACGGGGAAACAAACCAGCGACCAACACGTCGACCATGGCTTCCAGAGGAGTTGCAAATGTAACCAGGGGAACGGGGAAGGAGCAGTTGCACAATGCGGAATTGCGGATTATCGAGGGTCGAGTAAATTTTTTTTTTGAGGATCTGGATCGAGTAAATTAAGAAGATGAATCGGGGGTAGTAACCGACCTGCAATTATGGCTTCGCTTGCCAGTAATGGTTGTAGCAATTATGATTTGCATCTTCAATTCCCGACGAATCGATTCCAATCGTGGCCGATGCTTGGTTTCCCCCACGGCCCCGTTTCGTTGTACGTCAGGCGTGGTGTCATGGCGAGCCACTCTCCGCCCGACCGTGGGCTCGGCCCCAGGCGAGGCGCAAGAGCAGCAGAAGATGTGTTAATACTTTTTTCCACGGTTAACGCATCACATCTAGCCCATCTGGGCCAAATTGATGACAAACGTCCAAATTAGTTACCGGAGCAGCGGCCCTTGTGCTCAGCGTAACAAAGCCCAGGCGGGAGCACAAGGGGCATCTGACGGACAGGAACTCCCGCAATAGTGCATCCAACGGTTAAAATTGCTAATGGTCTGAGATGGCTGAAAAAGTGCTCGATTATAATTTCTTTAAATAACTAAAATCCAGTTTGATAAATATTTTCGAAATATTTTTAAAATAACACAATATTTCTGAACTACTAGACTATTTATTATCATGAAATACTAACCCGATAATCAAAAGAAGAAAAGGGTTCGGTCGATTGAAACTCTAATACTTTTGTTGATGTCACCTTAGAGATTAATAAATAAACATAAAATAAAGAAAAACAAAAAATCTAAAGAAGAATGAAATTAGTGGCATCAGTATTACACTTAAAAATCAGGAATACATAAAACAATTAAGCAAATGATGAAAAAAATAGCACACAATTTTACACAGAAAATTCACTTTTTCGTAATATGCAAGAACAAGAATTTAATAGTGAAAGTTTCCCAAAATAAAGTTTTCGAAGAAAGAATAGATTAGTGGCATTAGTAAAATTAAATCAAATAGTGACAAAATTTGCATATGATTTACACAAGAAGTGCTTATTTTTATATTATGCAAGAGTAACCATATAATGGTAGAATTTTTGCATAAAGTAGTTTTCTAAGCAGGAATGAATTATTGGCATTGATATGACCCTTAAAGAAAAAAATGACAATAATTTTGTTTTCTAAGACAAAATAAATTAGTGGAATTGGAATTACACTTTCAGAAGAAATGAAATGAAGTAAAAACTAAACTAAAATAAAAATAATAAAGTTTTCTACGACATAATGAATAAGTGGGATTCGTATAACCCTTTCAATAGAACGAAAATGAAAAAAAGAATAAAAAATCAAAAGAATAATGTTTTCTAAGAAAGAATAAATTAGTGGCATTGGTACAACCCTTCCAGAAGAAATAAAAAAAATAAAAATATTAAAATGATCAAGTTTCGTAAGGGAGACAAAATTGGTGAAAGTATTTTTTACCCAGGAGTTGCACACAATATACACATGAATTACGCTTTGTTATAATATGCAAGAATAACATATAATAGTGATTTTGTGCAAAAAAACAAAGTTTCTAAAAAGAAAGAATGATTAGTAGCATGTGTATTTGATCCATGGCATCTCTATTTCTCCAAATCAAAATAATGAAGTTTTGTAAGAAAGAATGAATTACTAGTAATGGAATTACCATTTAAGAAGAAAGATAACAATGACGAAATTTACACACAATTTATGCATACATTGCACATATTATAATAAGAAAGAATATGAATAAAATTGTGAAATTTTCGCTAAAACACTGTTTCTTAGAAAAATATTATTATTTTGATTTTGCTTTTGTAGTTACTTCTTTTCATTCTTTTGATTTTGCTTTGGTAGTTTTCTAAGCAAGAATGATTTAGTTGCATTGATATTACCCTTTGAGAAGAAAGAAATTATAAAGTAATCAAACAATAACAAAATTTACAGACAATATATACAAAAAATTGCGCTTTCAATAATATGCAAGAATATGCATATGGTAGTGGAATTTTCACAAAAGATACAATTATAATGAAACTGCACTGTTTTAATAGTATGTAAGAAATAAGCTCATAATAGTGCATTTTTCACAGAATTACAATTTATACACATATTATAAATTACTTACGCGTATATATTTTTATCTTAACCCAACATCCAAAATATACCCATAAAAAACTACAACAAAATAGAAGCAAAAATGCACACAAATAGCCTTATAAGAAAACACTTAACAAGCTTCAAGACAACAAGAAATCAACTGACGCAAAATAAGGGACAATCAGAAAACATGCAGCCCAGTACATGACAGCACACACAACAGGGAAAAAACAACTAGAACGCATCTTGGAGCAGGAATCAACGGTTAAAAAAATTGTCTGACCCAAAAATTAAATCTCAGTCAGCTGACATGTAGCTAAAGTGAGAAAATATTAGTGCAATCACATATTTAGCTTTTTCGTCGTCTCCTTTTCCTTGGCGGCTAGGCCAAACTCCCCATCCAGGGTTCGCCGGCGAGCCCATAGATTCGCCTTCCCTCTGCCTTCCACTCCGGTGCCCGGCCACGTGTAGAGGAATCCCGCCATCTTCGCTTCGGTTAGTAGCTTATAGGTTATGCCTTTTTAGTCCATGCAAGTATGATCACCACTTTACATTATGGCACGTATGTGGGTAGAAACATTGAAAATGATACATATTGAAAATATTAGTTCAAATTAAATTGAGTGCAACGTGCTCAGGCTACATGGAGCCTTTAAGAAAAACATTCAAAAATCCAAAAAATTCTGACAAAAAATTCCAGTTTGAAATATATATGTTCTTATTTTTTACAGTTGTTTGGATTTTATCTATTTTTTTCTTGTTTTTTGGGTGTTTTTTGTTTATTCTTTTTTTGTCTAAAATGTGGACCACAGTTGTGCTTCCCCATCAACATAGTGAAGCATGATTTTGTTTCCCCAAAAAGTGAAGTGCAGTTCTGCTTTCACGTGGAAGCATACCTATGCTTTTTCTGCTTCCCTAAAAGTGAACCATAGTTGTGCTCCTCGCGTGAAAGAACATATGTGCTTCCATATAAAGCACAAATGTGCTCCTTTATGTGAAAAAGTAGAATTGTTCTTCCCCTAAAAGTGAAGCACGGTAAGTATAACTTTTGAAGCACGGGTTAATACAGTTTTGAAGCACAAGTACTACAGTTTTGGAGCACATATTTTTTCCCCACAAAAGATACATTGAAACCTATCAACATGGGATCACGTTTTAAAATGTTGACGCGAGGATTGCAGCGGTGAAAACAGTTCAAGATTTGGACATGTGGTTTGAGATTTGTAAATCAATTGTACGGAAAAAGAAATAGAAATATCAAACCCACCTCGCCACGCGCATGGGAAGAAATCCTATGAAAACTCTCCAATTGCAAAAAGTGTTGCACATGCGATGTGCCACTTGTCACCACCAAAGGAGGTGGGAGTGACCTTTACAAGGGGTGCCCCTTAATTAGTGATTTCGAGGAGAGGGATGAGGGACGGCTACCATAGGCATGTGAGAGGGAGGGTGGTAGCAACAGCAGCCAGGCTACCACCAGCATGTGTACACTAGAGTGAGGGAGGGTGAAGGTGCCATGTACCGGGGGCACACTTGCAGACTGTAAGTCGACCCATCAGGGTGCTATCGACTTATACTCCAAGTCTTCAATCTAGGCAGACTTACTTAGGCTACAAGCCATGGAAACCGACATGAACCTATGTAATTTTACCCCTGGTCCACATAAGGATGTAGGGGAGTTTCGAGTCAGCATCCTGAAAGGCTACATCAATATAGATCGGACATGTAGGAGTAATACGCTTGGTGTAAAGCAAGAGGAAGTTGAGATCATGGAGAATTTATTTAGTTCGGTGAATGATAAATTCACGTACATCATTAGCACACTCGAGCAGCTTTACAACATCAACGAGATGACAATACTAAAGGCGGAAAGACATGGGGAGAAAATGCCCGTGGCTGTCGAGAATGTAAGGGAGGAGGTGGTGACGAAGTCATGTCCTCACACATAGATTGGGAGGTCCCATGTAGCAAAGGAAAGCATGATGGTGGTGAAGGCTAAAGCAACACAAAGCGCGGCAGACACACCAGAAAAGGAAAAGGAAAAACACGTGAGTTGGATATGTCCAAGGTCTAGTGAAATAATTGCAAAGAGATGGGTCACTTTGTGAAGGATTGTCCAGAGCCTAACAAGAGGGAGATCAAGGAAAATTTGGTGAAGCGGGCCGGGAAGATGAACGTCCAGGTCTTCTGATGGCCAAAGTTTATGATCCCGTCCAAACGGTAGTTGTGGAACCAATCGAAAGGTGCTACTTCATGAGAAGAAAGTAACACCTAAGTTATCCGGAAATCATAT